AACATATGTACACAGTTATAATATATATATTTTTTATATATTTATAGGTTTGTGTTACAATTTTTTTTAAGGATCTAAGACATATTATCCTACTAAAAATTTATATAAAATTTTTGTATTTTAAAAAGAAACCAAACTTAATTCAAGACAATCAACAAAAAAATAAAAACTCAACATTTCAACAATAAAATAAAGTCTCATGGGTATTATAATAACATCTTAAATATATACATATATAATTGTTCTTTAACAACATTTACATGAGAACAAAACTCAAAATACAAATTATAGTCAAAAGTTACATTTTATGACAATATGTAGCTAAATAGTTTAGGATCACAACTATGACCTAGGCTAACAAAAGTAAATATACAAATTTTCAAAATCTTTAACTCGGACCATTGCTTAGCCAAACCCTCTAGCATGAAAAATAGATGCTCTACATGTCATTCCTACTCACATACCACCGTCGATCATCGCAGCACACATACACCAACACAGACAAAATGCAAGAGTGAACTTTTGAAATAAATAGCCATAGTTATAACGTTAGGACAAATGTAATTACATATACAACTTAGTACACAAAAAATGCTTAGCAAAGTAGTGCAACAATTTTGTCTATTCTCGACCCATCTAATGCAGTAGCTTAGTTTTAACTAATTTCACAGCTTAAGTAATTTAGAAAAACTTAAAATTTTATGATCTGGGAGCGACCCATCGCGTTATATAGATCCAGTCATAACATAACATTACCTAGCATTTCTCATATCGTTACATGTTTAACCACCTAAAAACATAATTTAACTCTAGAATGATGAAAGCAACATGATGCAACACAACTATATATATACAAAGTCCTAACTCCAAAGAACTTTGGGAAAAACTTAAATTCATACAAAAATTTCTCTCAGCCCTTTGACCTAGTAGGTTATAATTACAGGGATTACATTGATGCCTAGATACGAACTTTTTGGTTTCAAAATAAACTCAATCAACATTCTTGGTTAATCTATTTTAAAAAGAATCAAGAATATTACTTTCCAAATTGGTTCCTATAGTGGTGGGACTATTTTAGACCAATTCAAGAATCAAGAAGGATATTCAACTTTTAAAGACAGGTATCTGCAGGATTCCAGAATCCCAGTAGATTTGAAATATTTTTTTGCCTTTGCTCTCGCATGGGCATTCTCTTGGCAGTATAGATATAGCAGAGTAGAAAATGAAGAAACTCTTCCCATTCTTCAAAGTTATTCCTTTGTAAAATGGTGAGGTTAATTCAATGTTGATCATGCAAGACCTCTTGGTGTTACTGAATTTTTTGGAAATAATCCAAAATTATTAAAACTTGCTAATCCAGCAACATTTCAATTTCTTAACCAAAAATCTAAAATTGCAGCCTTTTTATCATAGTATAATTCTAAAGAGAAGATAAAGAAAAATCTAAAAGATGTTATTCTCCTTCTGCAAAGCCAAGATGAAGCAGAATCTTCTTCAAAGTAAGATTCCAAAATAAATACTAAAGACATTTATCAAAATGAAGATGATTGTTTTGGAATAGATATTCAAGAATTATGATGCAATTTGACTTGTACTATAGAAAATAGTTCCTGTAATTAACCGAAACTGTAGAAACAGTATTTTATTTTCTTATATAAGGAGTTCTTGACCATAATGTGAGGTACCCTTTCATTTAGCCATTAGAGAAATAAAGTTTAGAAAGAAGTGCTTTGAGATACTATCTTTGTAAGCTTTTTTCTAAGTTTTTAATAAAATATTGTTTATGTACATTTCTCTCTTCTCCCCCAGCTGGTTCTGTTCGGACTACCGTCGTTCAGCTTTCTTCTATTCCTCTTTTACTAGATCTGTGCTGGTTCTATCGCCATTTTAGTTTTTTATATTTTAATTTTACATATTTATATTCTGCATTTATATTTCTGCATTATTCTTAGTAATCCTGCTATTGCCTACTTTCCTTTCAACACTTATTTTTCTCCTTTGATCCACTTCGAAAAATCTAGTATCAGAGCCTGATGGAGAAGTAGGAATATAATTATTAATTGTTAACTGAAATTTCTATAACCATGGTTTATAGGCTGGACAGTTGACAAGCCTTTCGGATGAGACTGTTACTAGTCGTCCCTATCTGTAATAATGCCACGAATTAATGGTTCAGAAATACTATTCTGTATAGTTCTTTAATTTGTGAAATGCTTTTACTGGAAGTACAACAATTCTTAAGGTCTTTTGAATGGAGCTACAACAGTAAGACCCGTGTGGATGAAAGGCAGTAAGGCTGATTCGACGATGCTGTGTTCAAAAGAAATAAAGAACATAAGAAGCTGGTGGCTTAAAAGAAATTTTGTTTTTGTAAAAAAAAAATTCACAAATAACCAGATCCAGTTGAGAAAGTTATAAATAATTAACAGATATATTGTTACGGAACCAGATGAAGGTGATGTGCCAGATGTTTTATCATTATGTCTCGTCTTCTTCGCTCTTTCTCTCGCATCTCCTTCTGTTCTGGATCTAACTCTTCATCCTCCTCTCCAACCAAAAACTCTCTTTTCAATGATCAATATATATATATATATATATATATATATATATATATAACATCTTCAATATACTATGTCATAGCATTGATCAACTAGTCTCAGCATAATATATTTACAGGATTTTTAAATACTCATCACAGGCAAGATCAATTTTCACATCATTCACATGACAATAGAGAACCCCCATCAGACACACTATGTGTTCTATCCTAAGGTTTGTCCATACATCAACCCATATTCAGCTAAACTAAAATTTATAGTATCTGAGTGAATAATAATAGCCATATAAGGTAAGCTCTCCTTACTTAGAAATATGTTTCTAAGATTGTACTCTTCGTGAGTCCTAAAGAGAAATATAACGCCCAAAAAACTTAGATCTCCTTAGTACTACAAGGTAAAAAAAACTCTTTGAGAGAGAATAAACAAGTAATAAAGAAAGAATTTAGAGAACTAGGCTTTGAAACTTACTTGAATCAAAACGGAATGAATGTTCATGCTTGGATTTGGAAGAGGTTTGGACATTGGAAAAGTTTTCTCTGAGTAGAAAGGCTCTGAAACTTGCTTCTCGCTACATTTAACAACTTTCTTTACAACAAAAAAAATTAGACAATACAATGTTAGTCTCTCTTGCTACGGCAAGAATATTATTAAGTCAACCTTATCCACTTTTCATTATAGCGAGACTTTCTCGCTACAATAGGACACTATTTCTTGTACAGTAAGAGCGCTTTAGAGAACTTGATTTTGGATGACTTGTCTCGTTACAGCAAGATATTCTACAGTTTACACCAATTAAACCTTACTCAATTCAAACAGTATGCATCAACTTTTTATCCAACAAATATACAACCAACTCTCTGTCTCTCTTTCTCTCTCTCTCTCTCACACACACACACACACACTCAATTCAAACAGTATGCATCAACTTTTTATCCAACAAATATACAATTAACTCTCTCTCTCTCACACACACATACACACACATATCCAAGCAATTTCATACTCCTTTCAACTCACAATATTATTTTCAAACATATATATTCATACAAGTCAAACAATTACAACACATATTAAAAGAATAATATCATATATAAAACACATATATGACAATTTGTATCAATGGTTAAGTGTTAAACCTAATATGAGAAACTTATAAATCTTAATTTTCAGTTTATATTTCAATGAATGTTATACTAAATACTAAAAGAGATTATGCCACGTTAATAAAAAAATAATAATTATGCCGCTTGTAATAATTTTATTTGATTTAACAAAATTATTTCTATTAAAAAATACATATAATTTTAACAAATAATAATAATTCTAATTTGTGCATATCGTAACCATTAAATTACTTTACCTTACTCCACAATTTAATACATTTTTCAATTCAATTTTAAACAAATAAAAATACACACACAAATTAAAAATATTAAATAATTTGAATAAAGTTAAATTATGTCACAAAAATAAAATTTTTATTCTTATAAATAAATTAAAAAAATATGCCATTGAAAGTTTAACTGTATTAAATATTTAAATAAATTTTTTATTGTTGATAATAATTTTATTTTAATTCAAATATGATTGATTAAAAATGTGTTATATAATAAAATAAATCAAACGCAAATATATATATTTATGTTTTCTTTTCATACAAAATATTCATGTTAAAATAAGTCCAATGCAAAAGAAATAATGCCTTTTTTAAAAATAATGTTAGTATTTGCCAACTTTTGTTTTTGATCAAGCAGTTTTTTTTTTTCATCTACATAGTATTTCGCTCTCTCTGTTTTTTTGGTCAACGTATTTCGCTATCGCAACTGACGCTTATGATTAAGTTACTCGGACCAGCCCAAACTCAGCCCAAACAAGCTGTTCGTACTGATCGAGTGTGCAAAGCTGTTTGACCAAAAACAACAAAAACTGAGCAAAGCTGTTAAAAGGAAAAAGTAAAATTATAAACACTTTTCCTTTGTGTGCATATACATCAAGATAAATAAAATGAGAAAAAAAGTGATAAAATAACAGGTAATATGATATAATAAAAACAAATAAAAAAGTGAGCTATATTCAATGAATGTTAAATGTGTCAAACTATTAATAAATTAAAATTTTAGAAATGTGTAAAGTTGAACTAAAAATTAATAATTAACATAAAAATTATAAATATATATAATATTCAAAATTTATTTGTATCAAATTATTTTTTAACTTTAATTTATAAAAAATAAAATATAAGTAATTTCAACTTTTAAAACTAATTTAAGTATTAATAATAATAATAATTTTTTTTATTGAAAATCATATTTATGAAACAATTGATCTTTCAGGAAAAAAATAATAATAATCCAACAATGGTTTTGTATGGTCCTGTGGCGTGTTTGTCTGCATGTGCATGTGTCATCACTCATCAGACACAAACACACAGAGACAGAGACAGAAACGGAAGCAGTGCAAGGCATTGGGTATGTTATGTTCATCCAACAAAATGCACAACCCACTTTCTGAGGCTCTGATTTCCGTGAAATACTATCCAATCCCTTCTCCTTTCTCTTCTCTTCTCTATTCACGCATCATCATTCTTGTCTATTCCTACCAAATAAAACAATTACCAACTCACACTCATTCCGCACTACCCTTCAAACTCTAACTCAATTTCCCATGATTCGGTGCCGAATTTTTCTGATAAAACCTCATCGAATTATTCTCTGACTTTGCTTATTTGCGTCAAAGAAACGCAGCGTGAGTTTCAGTTTGGTGATTAAAAAAGAAAAAGCGTTTTATCTTTTGGCCTTTTGGATTACGTTGCAAATTCTATAGTATAATGGCGGGTGGGTTGGTGAAGGGTGGCGTTTCAAAGTTAATTGCTTTTTGGTAGGTAGGTCCAGTGGTTGACGTTTTCTTCTTGAACAAGGTCATACACTTCATTGGGTCTTCACTGTTCACTGCAATTCCAATTTCGAGCTTCCTTTGCGGGTGTTTGTGTGAGAGAAAGAGAAAAAAAAAAAAAAAAACTGAGAGAGGGAGATGGCTGGAAATCTGGCAAGGAGGGCTTTGGGAACCGATATGCCGGTGATGGTTCAGGTACACGCCAAGGCCCCTGTTTGCCTTTTTTCTCTCTTTGGAATTGGACAAGTTCATTTTTAGTTTTTGGATTCATAATCTAATTCGTGCTTGGTGTGTTTGTGTTTGCAGATGCAGGAATTGCTCCGTGGAGCTCAGAATTGCGTGTCTTTGGCCCAGGTTTGTTTTAGTTTTCTCTGTTTCCAATGCTTGTTTTATTAATCGGCTGTTCCATCTTGCGTCCCTGGCACATGTTAAGAAATAAATAATTAATTTTTTTTTATATTAAAAGTTGCAGTATTCAGTGTTATCAATGATTAGATTTTGCATTTTTCAATAAAAATTGACTTACGTATAAATTTTTATTGTGTGAGCTCCAGGCAATGTTCAAAAAACTGTTTATTAGTATAATTGTTTTTCTAGTGTGTGTATAAGGACACGTAATAAGAATTTATATACAGTAAGTTTTTATTAAAAATCACGTAATTTAATGCATTGATAACATGCTATAAATTTACTATAGATATTGATGCTTGTATGTGTTTACTGCTTACTGGTCTCCAATATTTGAAGTATAACTTAGTCTAGCTTGGTTGGTGTGTGTGTGTTAGAATCTTGAGAGGAATTCCTGCATAGATGTGTAGATTTTAGCTATACGTGGGACCCATGTGGATCCCACTGTATGGTTGCAATCTGTGTGCAGGTGTGCATTATGGAGGTATAGCTAGAAATGGGATTGGGAGCTGTCTGTTTTCTCTTCTTAAATTTAGCGATGTTTGGTGTGCGTTTATGAAGGTGGCACTCTTATCCTCTTAACGTGCTAGGGGGTAATACCTTAAAAACGTGCTTTGAAAAAAATCTGAAACTTTGAGAAACTTAAAACGTTTTTTTTACTGCACTTCCTTGCAACATTTCTGATGACAAAGTCTTTAAATTTGACAATGGAACTTATCCTGGGTCTGGATTGTAAGAAAAAGTTGCAAGCTATATATTTTGATTCTACACCTGTTGTTAATGATTTTGGTTCATAGTTCTGCATGCTTTTTAGTCACGATTGAAGTTTACTAAAATGCAATTTGTGATGCGTTTCTTGAATTTTGTCTGCTGTAGGGGGTAGTTTATTGGCAACCTCCAAGGCAAGCATTGGATAAGGTGAAAGAACTAGTGTGGGAGCCTTCTATTAGTCGTTATGGTGCTGATGAAGGTCTTCCTGAACTGAGAAATGCATTAGTACAAAAGGTAAACAGTCTAGTTTCTTCCTACAACTTATACAAGGAGTGACCGTGGATAGCTATAGGAGGTTTTTCATTTTGGGATGAAGCTCGAGCTTCCTTGAGGGTCGCAAGCCTATTAATGACTGCTTTTAATACCTGATTTGGTCCTTGACATTTGTGATCTTTCAGTTAACTCCTTTGAGTTTGTCATGCAGTTGCGTATTGAGAATAATTTGCAAAAATCCTCAGTAATGGTTACAGCAGGTGCCAATCAGGTGATCAATCCCCAGCTCTATAATTTGCATTTTATGTTTATAATTTTGTCATAACATAAAATAGAGAAAACATGGTTGCTGAAAAAAGTAAAACTTATAAGCTTTTTATCTTTCTTTTAACCTTTTGTCAGTTTGTGGTTTACCTATTTAAAATATATAATAGCCTTTTTAGTTTGCTTATCTTCAATCATATCCACAACCATCACAATGCTTGTCCTTCTTTAACTCAAATCATAATGAACCGGTCTAATAGTTGATAAGAATAGCATGGTTTTGTAATTGAAGACGTGCCTTTGATTGTTCAATTTTCTGTAGTTTTCAGTATTTATTTTAATATTTTATCTAATAAAGCTTTTCCAATCTCCTTAAAAAAAAAGTGTGATTAGGGAATTAAAAAACTTGATTCAGTGCTTTCGATCTATCCATTCTTTCTTGGCAAAATTTCTTTATTTGTTAGAAACTACAAGATAAGGTGATTTAAAATGAATTTTCTAGATTGTTATGTTCATCTTTTATTCCCTTTACCCGTATAATTTTCTTTTAACTCCCCTTTCGTTAGTTTAGAATCTTTCTTGTCACAGACTAACACTGAATAAGTCAGTGCTAACAGTTTAGCTCTTGTATGGTCTGTTATTTACACTGTTAGGGACTCTTTCTTTAATTGTTGATTGGAAATTAGTGACTGTTACGGTACTCATTCTGCTTTCATGATCAGTATAATTTGATCTTTCAACAAAATTATGGTACTTATTTCTTAACGTCTGCAGTGCAGGCATTCGTGAATCTAGTTCTTACTCTGTGTGATGTGGGGGATTTCGTGGTTATGTTTGCTCCTTACTACTTCAATTCATACATGTCCTTCCAGATGACTGGCATTACCGATATTGTATTGGGTCCTGGTAACCCAGAAACACTTTATCCAGATGCAGGTAAGAGGTGCATGATCTGGTCACTGACAATTTGTTTTTACTGATAAAAGAAGTGGAGTTATCATAAAGGAAAATAAGATTTGTTAGAACACAAAAAGATTTCAAAAGAAAGAAAATACAGAATAGAGAGACTCCTAGTGTGAGAATCCCACGCAAAACCAATCTCTAGTCTCACAATTTTTACTGCCTTTCCTCTCCCGCTGGCCCTGCTTCTAACATATTCTCTTAACAGAATTCACACCTTCCTCCCTCCTCTCCCCCCTGCTGCCATGTGTCCAAGAAGTAAAAAGAAAATCCCCCATGCATATTCCTTTCTGACTCCCTTCACTTGCTTATGTGACCTCTATCTCTCCCTTTATTTTTCTTAACTTAGACTCTAGTAATAGGAGGTTTTCTATCAGATTGTCAAACCTCTTCTAGGAAGGTTTCTTGGGCCATTCTAAACTTGTGCATGTCCAACCCTCTATCTTGTGATTTCATATATTGCTAAATCCAACATCCAAGTGGCACATACTGATTGAACAACTTTCTACATGACATTGTCCGTCCCTTGGTTGGTTAGTCAATACCGCAAAGAATTTTAGAAGACTGTTTGATGTCTATTAGAAATCAGTCATTCAAGTGTACAGTAGACATTGTTATGGTGTCAGATTTCTTTGTTTAGCTATTTATTTGCATTGTCTTGAATTTTCAGATTGGTTGGAAAGAATATTATCAGAGAGTAAACCTGTCCCAAAGCTTGTTACTGTTGTAAATCCAGGCAATCCAAGTGGAACCTACATACCAGAGTCTCTACTAAAGGTCTCTCTCTCTCTCTCACTGGGTTTGTGTTTGTATGTATGTGTAAGTATGCCTACTGCTAGTATGATTTTAAACATGTTACTGAACCCTTAAGGATTTGCCATTCAAGTATTCTTTCTATGGTTTCTTTTTGAATTCTCTTATGTAGCCAAACATGCATGTATTTGACCTGGGACTATAACAACCCAATGAATATGTTGATTCATCTAAACAATCTTTTTTCTTCAAAATTTTATTTTAAAATTGCTAAACAAATGCTTATTCTTAATTGTCCAGAGGATTTCAGATCTCTGCAAGAATGCTGGCTCTTGGCTTGTTGTTGACAATACATATGAGTAAGTCTTTAAGTTACTATGCTGGCACTTCCTTGTTGATCTTGTATTTGAGGATCTCTTATCCTTGTATATGTATATGTATGCAGGTATTTTATGTATGATGGCCTGAAACACTCTTGTGTGGAGGGAGATCACGTTGTTAACATTTTCTCTTTCTCAAAAGCATATGGAATGATGGGGTGGCGAATTGGATATGTAAGTAATCTTTCTGATGTCTTAATTTCCATCAGAAGGAGAACAGAGCATTAAACTTTTATGCCCAATTGATCATTTTTTGTGAAACTTTAGATGTCAACCATGTGAACCTGTAAACAAGCAGTGATGTCTTGTTGGATTTATGGTATTGATATTTTTTTAAGTCATTTTACTTCTACAATTTCAAGCCATGCAACATAATGTGCAAGGAACTCCACATATTCAGAAATTATACTTTGGCCTATTGTTTTCCTTTTTGATAATTAATATAACTTATCATAGTATTATTCAAGTTTGAAATAAAAATAAAAAACCAGGGTGGTTAGAACTCTGAGAAATGTTCTTTGACAAGTGTTCCTCCTCCCAAAGTATATATGATGAAACACAAGCTTATATTGCTTCCATTTTTATATTCAAGATTATTTGTTTCTTCTCGGCAATACAGTAGCTTCATTTTTCAGTTGCAACACCGTTAGTCTGAATGAAATGTTTGACTATTACAGATAGCATACCCATCTGAAGTAGAAGGACTAGCTACCCAACTTCTCAAAGTTCAAGACAATATTCCAATCTGTGCTTCAATAATATCACAACACCTTGCCCTCTACTCCTTAGAAATGGGACCTGAGTGGGTTAGAGAACGAGTAAAAACTCTTGTCAGGAATAGACAAATTGTTTTAGAAGCTCTTTCCCCTCTTGGAGAGGGTTCTGTGAAGGGAGGAGAAGGTGCTATATATTTGTGGGCAAAGCTCCCAGATGGGCGTGGTTTTGATGATTTCGAAGTTGTTCGCTGGCTAGCTAATAGGCACGGGGTTGCTGTAATCCCAGGAAGTGCATGTGGTTCTTCTGGGAATCTTAGAATTTCATTTGGAGGCTTGACAGAGGATGATTGCAAAGAAGCAGCAGAAAAGCTGAAGAAAGGCTTGGAAGAATTGGTTACAAAAGGGTTGGTGCAGGATCACTAACTTCTACTTCATCTCTTCCCTAAGTGGGAAGAAAAAGATAGTCCAATTGCCAGTTGCAACTGGTGCATTTCAATAAATTTAGGATTTACCTTCACCCTTGTTTAGTTGGAGGGTGGCAAGGTTATATTACTTTCATTTTCATCATTCAAAAAAGTGGATAGATGCATATACTTTTTACATCCATTGATTTCTTAATGTTTTCTGGCTCGTGCGGGATTCACACACACATACACACACACACACACACACAAACTAAACACATTGTAAAGTAGTCTTGCAACTTGTGAAAACACATTGTAAAGTAGTCTTGCAACTTGTGAAAGGTGTGTTGGATAAAATGCTTATAATGGATGGTAACTAAGAATACAACATTATTTTCTTAATGATTCATAGTGGCATATAGCTTAAGGGGCTGTACTCATTACAAGCAAGGGTGATAGTGAGTGTGTTGTAATCACTACTGCGGACAAAAGAAGCATATGGTTTGTGCATATATGATACAAGCAGAAACAAGCCAAGAGCACTAGCAAAAACCTCAAAAGACAAGAATAAAAGCTCTGTATAACGGAACTAAGGGAACTAAGTAGTTGCAAAGTTCCTAACGGCTGTTTTTTCAATTCGGCCATCAAGATCAACCACAACGTGGGTACCAAGATAAAGCAGAACGGATGAATAATGCAACTTATACATTGTTGTTTATTTTTTTGGATGGGTACTTGATGACTCAAAGTTAACGAGAAATAGGTATTCAATTGATGACACAGATATTTAGAAACAAATGAAACAAAGACAAATAAATATATTACTGTAAATCGTGGAACAAAAGACATTATAATGCTAATTTTTAACAATTTCGAAAACTTAAACTTTGACATAGCTTATCAACTATTGTTTCCAAAAAATAACTGAGAGATAATTCAACAGCTTTTAATTTTTTTGCTAACTTAAAATTTCATATATAATTTAGCAACTATTTTTGTCAAATAAACCCTAAATTAACTATGGAGTCATTGTTTGTTGTAGCACTAATTATTTTTATGCACATGCATAGCACAACTCTTGAAAAACAACTATGATGGAATCAATTAACATGATTACCTAAAGGTCCACCCGTTGATTGCAATTAAAAGGAAGATGAAGTAAGTGGACAAGAAAGAATTGGATTTTCAAATCAAAATGTAAAAGAGGGAGAGAGAGGAAAAGAGATAAAAGCCATTATTTTTCTCACTTTATTTTTTTAATGAAAGAAAAATATAAAGTGAAAGGGTAAGAAATTAGTTGGGGAAATAACATTATCATTGAAAATAAAGGGCAAAAGCAAAAACGAATAGTTAGAGGAAAATGGGCCACTTCATTATGAATGAGATGAAAAGTGGTTGTGGGCTAGTGGGCCCAACGGACTGAAATTCAAATCTGAAAAGCCCATGGAAGGAAGCCATTATTTTTTTTCAATCGGCGTTTAAACAAAGGAAGGAAGAAGGAGCAACAGTTACTGTTTAGGTGTGTTTGGAAGAGAATCAGAATGGTTGGAAGCACGTTGGCAGGGTTACAAGAACACCTCAAGTTGGCCAGAGACTATGCTCTCGAAGGACTTTATGATACCTCTATCATCTTCTTCGATGGTGCTCTTGCCCAGATCAACAAGTACCCTTCTCTCTCTCTCTCTCTCTTTATGCTAAAGTTCTTCCTTTTGCTTCATAACCTTTCACGGGTTGCAATTCTTTTTATGTTTTCACTCAACCCATTATTGTTATTATTATATTTGTGTATATATACATAAATATTTAGATGGAGAGAGAGTCAAAATTATTTTACTTAAATTTAATCTCGACCGTTCATCATGGACTGGTGAATGGAGTTGATATTTTTTGGAACTGAGAACAAAAATTATTATGTTAACTGAAGTAACCTTTTGGTCGTTTGTTAACTGAAGTGACTGATTTCTGTTGAAATGTGAATGCAGCAGCCAGCAATGAATTAATGAGATTCGAAGTTTTAAGTGATTGGATCCTAGGTTAGGCAATTTGATGTTAATTTTTCTGTTTATCTAGATTACATGTCTTGACAAGAATCTATTTTTAGAAACAATTTGGTGTAAATGGGAATTTTGACTGATTTTATTGGTTGGTCAATTGTCACCTAGCTTACATGTTAGTCTCAATTTGTTGTGATTTCAGGCACCTCAACACTGTTGATGATCCTTTGATTCGTGCAAAATGGATGAACGTTAAGAAAGCTCTTTCTGAGGAAACAGAAGTTGTGAAGCAGCTAGATGCAGAGAGAAGGGCTTTTAAAGATAACCCTGTTGCAAGACGCCCTTCCTCACCTCCAATTTCTGCTAAATCTTCGTTTGTTTTTCAACCATTAGATGAGTATCCCACTTCATCGAGTGGTCCTGTTGATGATCCTGATGTATGGAGGCCACCTAGTAGGGATACTACCACTAGAAGACCTACAAGGTCTGGTCAAGTGGGTACTCGGAAGTCTCCACAAGAAGGAGCTTGGGCTCGAGGTTCTACCAGAACAGGTGCAACTGGACGTGGTGCAAAGGCTGGTGCTACAAGTAGGGTTAACTCAGGGGCCCGAGCATCAACTACTGGAAAGAAAGGTGCTGTTTCTGGAAAGTCTAGCAAGACAGATACAGCCGTAAGTTTCAACTTCTATGAGGCAGCCTAGTGGCGAACATTTTCTGTATAACATTACGTTGTTTGGAGAAGTTGCTTCTAAGGATAATTTGGTTGGGGTACTCAACCAAATTTTAAGTTATTTGCTTTATCTTATAACATCTTTATTGAATAACCTGTGCTTAGCATACTTATAGCCTATTGCATCCAAGTGTTCATTTAATATTAGATACATGTTCAAGTGTTTCTTCTTCTTCACATTGGGTATTACCTGCTCATTATCAATTTATGCTTTGTTTATTGCATCCGGGTCTAGATAGTATGAGAAACAATTAACTTCTTACATATGCTGGTGTCCTTACATTTGCTCAAATTACGGACAGAATGGTGATGCTGAAGATGGTAAGTCAAAGAAGGGACAATATGAAGGTCCTGATCCTGAGTTAGCTGCAATGCTTGAAAGGGATGTGTTAGAAACCTCTCCTGGAGTGAGATGGGATGATGTTGCAGGGCTTACTGAAGCAAAAAGGCTTCTAGAAGAAGCTGTTGTTCTTCCCTTGTGGATGCCTGAATATTTCCAGGTAATGTTGAACAAATTTTCTCCGGATTTTCACAAAACTAGTTTACTTAAACGTTTCAATTCAATTATATTTAATAGTTATGGTTTATTTTATAACAAAATAATTGGAAATTTTATGTGTATATGATGCTCTATTATTTTTTATCCTATTAGTTAATTTTAGATCCTTGTTTGGCAATATGATGAACTACTTTTGTGTAGAACTTTATTTCATTTGCAATTAAGCCCTGTTTATGAACTTATTTTTGCTAAAAAGGATAGGCCAATCCAACATGCAGTTTTGTGAGAAAAACTAAAGTTCATAAACAGACCTTAATTGCTTATGAAATTTTTCTCACAAAACTGCATGTTGGATTGACCTATCCTTTTTAGCAAGCTCTTATCATATCCATGCATTTGATTATCTGTGAATTAAATGTCTTTGTAAATATTGAAACTTGGAAATCATTATTTATTCTTGCAGGGAATCAGGAGACCCTGGAAAGGTGTCCTCATGTTTGGACCTCCAGGAACTGGGAAGACACTTCTTGCTAAAGCAGTTGCTACTGAGTGTGGGACCACTTTCTTTAATGTTTCTTCTGCCACTTTAGCTTCTAAATGGCGTGGAGAGAGTGAGCGAATGGTGCGGTGTTTGTTTGATCTTGCACGAGCATATGCACCAAGCACTATATTCATTGATGAAATTGATTCTCTATGCAATGCTAGGGGGTAAGCCTTTGTTGTTCTTTCTGACATCCATTGCGCATAGTTTTTGAAATTTGTTAATGTTTCCCCAAAATCATCTTCATTTAATTCTGTTTATATGGCTTGCACATGTTCCTAGGTTGTGTTGGGTTCACTCTAAATTTTGTACTACCTCTTGGAGTATGTTGAAATCTGATTGAATTCCATTTTACTTCATCAGGGCATCTGGGGAGCATGAATCATCCCGAAGGGTGAAGTCTGAACTTCTAGTTCAGGTTGATGGTGTAAGCAATAGTGCCACGAATGAAGATGGTAGCCGTAAAATAGTAATGGTTTTGGCAGCTACTAACTTCCCATGGGATATAGATGAAGCACTAAGGTTTTGTATTTGTTTTTCTGCATTATTTCCTTTGCAATTTAAGTTGCCGGTGATAAACATGCGTGATTTGTTATCTATTTTGAAATCTCTTTCAATATCATAAGCAACACTTTCTAATTCAATTTGATGTTACTGCAACACAGGAGAAGGCTGGAAAAACGTATATATATTCCTCTTCCAAATTTTGAGAGTCGTAAAGAGCTTATCCGTATAAATTTGAAAACTGTTGAGGCAAGTTCTGATGTTTTATTACTGTGTTGAGCTATAGAATTATGACCCTTAAGCTGTAGTTGATTTATACTGTGAATAACATTAATTATGTTAAGTTGAGTTTTATTTATTAGGATTTAAGGACTTATATTACCAACAACAAAAAAAAAGAAATTGAGCATTTATCAAGATGTAAAGTGAAAGAGCAGTATATTTACTCATTGACAGTTCTAGAACTTGGATTATTATAGCTGATGGAACACTCGTCATGCACCAGGTGGCTGCCGATGTCAACATAGATGAAGTGGCTCGCCGGACAGAGGGCTATAGTGGAGATGATTTGACAAATGTCTGTCGTGATGCTTCCTTGAATGGTATGAGGCGCAAGATAGCGGGAAAGACGCGTGATGAAATCAAGAACATGTCCAAGGACGAGATTTCAAATGATCCTGTTGCCATGTGTGATTTTGAAGAAGCTTTGGGAAAGGTCCAACGAAGTGTTTCTCAGGCTGACATTGAACGCCATGAGAAATGGTTTACTGAGTTTGGATCAGCATGAAGACAACACATCAACAACGGGCAGTGTTGTTTTTGTTTTGTACTACTACTACTACTACTACTATTTTTACTTTAACGTTGCGTGGGTGGTTTGTCGTTATTGTTTGTGTTGATATATCATTCATTTTCTGACACGGCTCATTGTAGTTTTATGGTGTTGGAGAGATCTTCATTTATTAATTTGTATCTGCGATGATTGAATGCTAATGTAATGTAATCTGATATGATTTCAAAGCAGTTATTATCTCTCAACTTGTGATATTTGCATCAAACTTGGTATATCTCAAGCACTCTAAGTCTATGCCTTGAATCGTGTTTTGTATTTTCTTTCAAGTCCATTACTAGCTTACAGATGACAAGGCATTAACGGTTGTTTGATTATGTCGGCATGTAGCGGCAATCTCAATATGTTCTCCTGTGAGAAAATCGAAATGACAGCGTTACATGATTGTCGTCTTTCACTTTTAAATGTTTCAAAATATACTTCTGAGTTTTGATAGATTAGAGAAAACTGACACGAAGGTAGATTTTAAGACATAATCTTATACTTTGAATTGTATATTGCTTACAATTCCTTTTGGTTTTTTTTTTTTTTTTTTTATCAAATTCCCATTAGTTCAAGAGTATGGTATATACTCAAAATTTGTAATAAAAGAATTTTTTTTAGTCTAGAACTGCATGGTTGACAAGTATGCATTATTTTTAGTAAAATATAAAATTTTAATAGTTGACGTGATATGAGTAGTGAGAATCACATAATCTTGAATCCCTTAATAATTTTTCTTGAAATACTCTATTTTTTTTCATAATTTTTATGTAATTTAAGATCATGCACTTTCAACCACAGTTTGTGACAATTTTTTTTTCATATATTTTGACACGATAACGTGATATGAGTGATTAAAACGGATTCAGATCCTCTCATGTTGTGGCTGGAACATGACCTTCATGTTCAAATTTTCTTAAGCGAATTATGCAAAAATAAATAAATTATGTAGAAACTAACAGCATGTTATCAAAGGATAAAATTTTACAAAATTTATTATCAAAGTTAATTCTACTCATCCAGAAACATTTAACTGTAACAGCAAAACATGAATAAAAACTCTATTTTATTCCATTCCATTAATGGTACACAATTGTTCACAATGAAATTTGCAAAAAAAAATTCATTAATACATAGACAAGTCAAAAACAAAAGAAGCTGAGACATTTTATTTCATTTCATTCATATCAAATATCATCCGGGAATAAATGGGAGAGGATGAAGATAACGAAGAAGCTAAGCGTTATCCTCATCCTCTCCCATTTATTTCTGGATGATATTTGATATGAATGAAATGAAATAAAATGGCTCAGCTTCTTTTGTTTTTGACTTGTCTATCTATTAATGAATTTTTTTTGATAAATTTCATTGTGAATAATTGTGTACCATTAATGGAATGGAATAAAATGGAGTTTTTATTCATGTTTTGCTGTTGTAGTTAAATGTTTCTGGATGAGTAGAATTAACTTTGATAATAAATTTTGTAAAATTTTATCCTTTGATAACATGCTGTTAGTTTCTACATAATTTATTTATTTTTTGCATAATTCGCTTAAGTCATTTTAAATTCGCTTAAGCTATTTTGAATTCGCTTAAGCCGTTCAAAATTCGCTTAAGCGAATTTGAACATAAGGGTCATGTTCCCGCTACAATATGAGAGGATCCAAATCCGATTAAAACTACATAATATTAGATCATGAACAAACTTATAAAAAAACATATATATAACTTATAATTTTTATGTTTTTTTTTCTCAAAAAGTTATTAAAATAATTTAATATAGCAAATATTTTGGAGTTTATTTTAAAAATTTTATGGTAACATTTATAAGATATTTTTTATATATAAAGTGTTATTAAATAAATATTTAATTAAGCCGAGTTTTCAAATTTACCTAGGCATATGCATGGTATGAATTTTTTTTTTTTTATAATTAAATTGGTTATTTTAAAAGAGACTAAAGGTAAGGTAGGATACCAGGCTATATATATCGCTACAAGGGGCTGAGGGGAGCATGTTGCAGCTTGGATTCAAGCAGTTTTTCATAGGTCATATCGCTTCTTAATTATTTTATCAAACAAATTTCCATCTTTTCTTTCCAATGGGAATGTTCTCATGGACAAGTATCACCTTTGTTTCTTTGCATCTCCTCTTCACTTCCAATGTGTCTGCTACTTCCACACAATTATCCTCCAACCCAACACAAGGTATACTTAATCTTTGGTTTGGTCTTCCATTGTAGTCTGGTTGCCTGTACATGCCCCTCTTTCCCTGTTAGTATTTCATTTATATATATAACTTAACTGGGAATTAATTGGTTTTCATTAATATTTCATAGTTGATTAGTGATATACCATGGTGGTGTTTGTGCAGATGATATTGGTCTATGTAACACGGTGTTCTGTGGGAAAGGAACATGCCATCCTTCCACTGATTTTATTGGTTACAGATGCGATTGTGACTCTGGTTGGAAGAAGTTTAATATTGGTCCTTTAGAATTACCTCCATGCATTATTCCTAACTGTGAGTGATCATCATATTCTTTCCATATATATATATATATATTTAGTGAAACAAATTAAATAAATAAATAGATGCCTTTATATATTTCATCCGTTCTCTCTCGTGAAGGAGGGATTTAGATTAAAGAACAAAGTGAATCCAATTATCCAAAGTGTAAATTTTTTACGTTATAAAAAATTTGGCCCTCGTATGATTAGGGCTATATATCTGTCAGGTTAAGTGAAATATTTAAAGCTTACGTTTGATTTCTGAGAGAAAAATACTTAAACGTAACATGTATTTTAATAAGATAAATTAAAACTTAATTTGTCTAAAATTTAACTTGAACTTGAGATTATATTTTTTTAATAATTTTTTTTAATTTAGCATTGAACATATATTTTTATGCTAGAAGTGAAATGAAACAATCTTATAATATGATTTAGTATTCATAAAAATGACTTAGAATCGGTTAGGTCTAATTTTAATTTTAAATTTAATTTTATTAGCTTGAAAAATTAATTTAATCGGGTATTGAGTAGAGTTTAAATATATAACTTATAAAATAGTTCAATTAATTTTCACTTCTACCCGCAATATACATATATGATACATGCAAGTATAAATAAATTTCTAAAATAATGTATTTCTTTATTCAAGGGAACAAATCAAAATAAAAGGGAAAAAAAAAGACTCATAGGTTGTCATGGCATCGTTTTTGTCGCCCTAGTTTCGTCTATAAATAATTTATTTTCTAATTTATATATTTCATTGCATTTACCGTCATGAATGCTCTTTCTTCCTCTCCATTCTTGTTCGTGAAAATAGAGAACGTGTGGAATTTAGAATTATTTATTCATGACATTATTGTAAAATATGGAATTTTATTTGTACAAATCAAACTTAAAATTTGGAATATGGATCAACTGCATGATGTTTAGCTGAAAAACTCACCATTCAAAGCCATTAATGGACACCATTTTTTCTATCCATATTTTATTAGAGACTATAAACTTTTTAAGGGTTCCCATTTGTGCATTTGAAAACAAACTGCAGGAGATTAGATCCTGAAATTTGACAGCTCGCTCTAGAGGTCTTTTCAAAGTTTACTATTATTCTCATCTTAGAAAATAAAAAAATAACACTGACAAATGCTTAATACTAATTAGTTAATTAATACCGTTATTTCTTTTAAGGAAGGTTTGAAAACGTTCAAGAACAGTGTATGGTAATTTGTCCTACTTAAAACTTCGAACAGGATTAAGATTATCTCTCACAAAACATATATTTATGGTCCTAAAATAAATAAAAATTAGTTATCAAATATTGAAAGCTATACTAATGTATTATTTTTTCTATCATGTAATTTTATTAATAAAATTGAAGTACAGTACTATTAATCTTTTTAATGTTATTTTTTAATTAAAATTCAAGTTTTACTTTAAAAATTAACACAATATAAGTTAGTATGACAGATCAATACACGTTATTAAAATAAATTTAATTGTAATTAAAGAACAACATAAAAATGTACATAATACTGTCCTTAAATTTTTAGTATTCTATCAATGCCTAAAATATACACCAAATAGCAGATACCAATTTCAATCCTTTGTAACAGATGCTGAACAATTTGTGAAATCCGCAGGTACTTTCGATTATAATTGTGGTGATGGATCAGTGCCACCCCCTCAAGTTCCACCTCCAAATGTGTCTGACCGTAAGCTCATCATTCATTATTGCTTTTATATTCAATTCACAGCAAATGTTCAATAGCTGTTAGTAACTGTTTAACGTTTTGAAGAACAAAATGTGAAAGAATTAGACTTATGCTTTTATTTACTGTTTTATACACAGCTTGTTCGTTGAGTTTATGTGGGGATGGAACCTGTGTCAGAAATGGCTCTGACTTTACGTGTCAATGCAATGAAGGGTCCGCCAATCTACTTAATGATCCAAAGATGATTTGCTTTAAGAAATGTAATCAACTGTCAACCTTAGCTTGAACATATATGTTGAGTTTAGATAATTGTGTTGTGTTCAAAAGCTTTTGCCATCAACCTCTTACAAATTAAACAAGAGTTTCTATTATTAAACATGAGCTTTTCTTATTAAACAAGAGTATTTTTAGAAGTTATTTTCTTCCCTACTATTACGTGTATTTATTTATTGTACAAATAACACTTTTTAAACTTAATTAGGCTTGGTTTCTTTCATTCATAGTTTTGATATGGGAAATCTGTATTGTTATGTAAGCTAGCTTAGATATTTGAATTCTGATCATAGTACTTAATATTGTTCGAAATAATGCTAATAATGCATTTTTTTAACACACTTTTGACTATTTATTCAAATTATAGTAATCTTGCTAGTTTTCTTCAGTGAGCTATGGCTGCATCATCATGAGCTTTATGAATGCAGGCACTTTAGGACCAGATTGTGATGGTCTTGATCTTGGGCTCACCCCACCTTCAACACAAGGTTCAGGGTCAAGCTCCCCCAAAACTGGTAACTGCCTTTAAAATTTCATCACTTTTGTTGGTTTTTATGGAATTGGAAGGAGACAAAAATGATATGAACGGTGTGAATAATCAATAAAAGGGATTGCCAAATTAAAATTATGCCATTGTATTGACTGAGTTTGTGTATATGACAGGGTCATGTGAAATGCTAAGTGGCTCAAGGGAACTTGTTTTGCTTTCTATGATGATATTAGCAATAATATTTCATAATTGGATCTAAAAAGAGAACGTTGGAGTGCCATGAATTTTTCCCATGGAAAGTTATATATCTCTAAATAATAGATTCGTATAATTTTACTGTAGTTTCATTTTCACCTTCCCTTTGAATATCAGTGTACTCTTTTCATTTGCATAGCCACTCTGAACAGCAAATAAATATGACTGTCATGTTTATAAAAAAGTTCCAAAAAATGTGTTCTCTGTAGGATATATTCTTTTCTCTGTATAACATTATCACATGAAAATATCGCATTAAAATATTCAAATCCCTTATGTTAGTTAAGTAATATCTAAATATATTAGTTAAGTAACACTAAAAGCATCATGTTAAATACTTTTAATAATAAATTGTAACCAAACATAAAGTTTTAAGTGTATGAAAAAACGTGTATGACTGATGATTTAATGCGTAAAAATAATCGATTCTTATATTTTAAATTATATAAGAAATTTAAAACAACATTTCTGGAAACAGAAAACCTTTTTATACAGTCGCTGAGTCGCGTGTTTTCATTATTTTGTGAATGACGTGTCTTATAAACTTCTATATATTAAATCAATATTTTTCTCTTTAATAAGTAATGAAACCAATTTTTTTAATTATTTTAATAAATGCTTAATTTTATTTAATAATCATTAAAAATGGTATTTACAAATCATCATTGAAATAATATTTATTGTTTTAATTAATTTATTTTTTAAATGTACACTTTTTATTTTAAATTTACATTTTTATTGTTACAATATGATTTTTTATCTTTATATATAATTAAAAATATTTATATAATGAACAGAATATTTGTTATTTTTATTTCATTAAATTATAATTAATAAAATTATTAGTATAAAAAACCCCATCCTAATATCTAACACTGAAGAAATTGACGGAAATCTTTGTTAAGATGACCTATCATGTTAAATTATAAAATGAGAGGACCCATTCTTGAAAAGAATATATGTATATATATTATTTTTATTTTTTTTATTTTTTCCCCCTCTCTTAATATGACATCGTGATTCACTAAAAACAAAATGACATTGTCGTGTTAATTAGTGGCTAACAACATTCACAATAGAATCTTGTGGAGAGTCTTAAGAAAATCTTATATTAAACTATAAAGTCTTAACACTAGTAATCTTCAAAGTAGTAATATGCAAAGTTTTAAACATGACTTAAAATTTCAAGACTCAATTAAGACTTTTGGGGGACCCATTCTCATTTGCTTGCCTACTCCCCTTGCACCATGTCTCTGCTTTATGTCTCCCAATATTTTTTATTTTTATTTTTGCAATTTCTTTGATAAAGAAAGCTTCAAAATAGGGGGGGAGGGGGAGCCCGAAAAATTTTATATTAAATTTGAATTTTAAAAAATTAGTTAAATGCATATATAATATTGGGTAAATTTAAAAAATAGGTTTAATTTAGATAAATCTATCAATAAGTATTTATAAGAAAGAAAAGAAAAAATAAAGTAGTAAAATAAAATAAGCTTCTTTTGTAAGTTTAAATTAACTTATATGCTTCATTTTTTAAAAATATTTATCGTTTAACTTCTTCAAAAGTTGAGTTCCGTGATTTAATTTTAACATTAATTTATTATTTATTTATTTTTAATTTGTAAAATATTTAAGAAAAATTAAGTCAAGACAATACTATAATTTACAAGATAAGAATTAATATTATCTTTTTAAAAAAAGATAAATAAAAAATATATTTCTTTGAAAAAGCATGGCATATTACTAAACTACTTCATGTTGAAATATTCAAACTTTCGCACTCTAATAAAAAAAAATTATTTGAAAATTTGAACTAAGCCCACTTCCTAAAGGCCAACTAATCGCATGGTTTCTCCATTTTCACAAATCTATATTGTGTAACAAAGTAGGAAAAGAGCCTCCTTTAAAAAAAAATATTCTCTCTGTGTGTTAATTTTTAATTAATTAATGGTATAAAAATTATTTAATATTTAAAGTTAAGTTCAATATAAAATTCATATATCTAAAAGTATAGTCGTATGAAAAACTTAATGGAAATTTTACCATTTGAAATAATCTTAACTTATTCAACTCTAATTAATTAAACATATAATATTGTTTTCAATACCAAATATCAAAATTATTAGCTCTTGGCAGTTGACATAATCAATTTAAATAAATCACAGTCTCCCTATTCTGATTTGAAATTTCTACTTTTGAATTTTCATAATTTTTTAAATTTTATAAAAATATTAAAATTTTAAAAAATATAATACATTTTTAGTTTTTTTAAAATAATTTAATAATGTTCATATAACTTACAAAATTTTCATTAATACTAATAAGATTTTCTTATTGAAGAAAGAAAAGAAAAACTTAAAAAAAAAAAAGTGTTACACACACATATATATATATATATATATATATATATATATATATATATATATATATATATATATATATATATATATATAAGAAACAAGGCAGTTATTGGTAGTGGTGAAGATAATGGTTGGGTGTGTGTTCGAATTACTGTGTTCGAAAATAATATTAAAAGAGGATAAGCAAATGGCCACCAAAGGCACTAATATGACCAACTGAGTCACTGAACCATCTTCTTAATGTTTCCACTCTTGTCATTTCCCTTTTATTATAACCATTTCAATTCAATTGCAGAATCTCTTCGGATTGGTTCAATTTTCATATATAAATGGATATGAACAAGACAAACCCAAAGTGCTTCAAACTATGCATGACGCTTAGTACTAAATCTAAGAGCTTCTTGTGTTCTTCATTCATCAACTTTTCAAATCTTTAATTATCAGTGCAGATAATATAAATTATTGAGGGAGAACTTGTAGTTAACGAACCGCACTTCAAAAGAATCAAGTTTAATTTTGGAATCATTTCTTAGTCTAATAATTATGATATTAAGTATAATCTCACAGCAGTGCTTGTAAGAATACAAATAAAAGCATGGAATTGAATTTTTGTGGATCGGTAGTGTAAATTTTTTTATATAATCAACTAATTAAAATATATCATAAATATAATTTTTTATTAATTGTTAAAAAGTTCAATAATTTTTACTCATAAGCTAATTTATAGTTAAATAAAAATGTAAAAGTTTTTTTTATAGTGTATTTAAATTAAATTAATGATAAATTACTCATGTGATCTGAAGTCATTTGATCTCCACTCTACCTGGTTTATAAAAAAATAATTAGGGGAAGAGTGAAATGTAGAAGTAATGCATCGCACTTTTCTTGTATTTTATACGTTTACCTTTTAATGTTAGGATTTCTTTGGCACGCGCTAGCTTCATTAAGCATGATGATAAGTTATAATACAATATACTCTCTTCTTGTTCTTTTTATAAGAAATAAAAGATTAAATCATTAGAATTAAAAAAAATAATTAATTTTATTATATTTTTTATAAATATAAATTTTATTTTAAAAATACTTATGATATTAAATAGTATAGTTAGTAATTTTTATATTTAATAATACTAATAAAAGAAAAATATAAAAAAATTAATAATTAATGCATCTTGAATTTATCATTTATTTTTTATAATAAAAAAAATATTTCATTTTATTTCTTATAAAAAAACCAGCAAGAATATTATGATTATATCATTATTTGTTATCAGTATTATATTCTATAACTTTATTTATCAAATATCTCTTCCACGAGATATTTAATTTTATAAATAAACAACAAATGTAGCCCAAAAAAAGCCAATCGAATTATACATATAATTTTTGGGCAGTTTTTTTTAAAAATAATTAATTATACATATAAATTATGTAAATAAATGAGTAAAAAAATGTTAATATAAAATATGAATAGTTAGAAAAAATAATGAATATTTATTTGTTTAAATATTACGTAACATATAGAAATATAATTTTAGACCATGAGAAGTAAGTGTTCATTTTGAAATCGTAAGCAGATAGGTTCTTATTAAAATTTTGTTAATATTACTATAAATACAGTATTTTAAGTAAATAATATTTTATAAAAATATTAATTTTTATCCTATCCAAACTATAATTTTATATAGTGTATAAAAAACATAAGATAATGCTCTCTTATACATTACAAAATCCTATATGATCTCATATGCTTAACATCTGTGTATATGGTATTAAAAATTAAAATTTGTGAAACCTTATACTATTTAGCTTTACACTATCAGACTTTGTCTTAATATATATTCTGTATTTGACTATATACAAAGTTAATTCAATCTTAAAGGGGACGAATAAGGTTGCAGATATTTATATTAAAAATTATGATGAATAGGTATTTAAAAATATTTTCAATATTTTTTGAGTTTTTAAATCAATATCTTAAAAGTATTTCAAACATTTAACAATGGCAGTGACAATTGAACTGATCAAATTATTATCATTACTTTTATAATAAAATTAAACAAAAGTGATCGAGCAAGTAAAACAACATTTTTAAGAACTTGACATCAATCATAAACACACAGCTAGAAAGATTAAGTATAGAAACACAGCAGAAAAAAACAAAAAACTATTTAGTTGATTAAAGTATCATTTTTTCGATAAAAAAGACAAAAACAAAAGGGTAAGTAAAATAATATAACATTTGAATGCAAGAATCAAGATAATTAATATGCTTTGCCTTGACATTTTGGAATTTAGGAAGATATTCAACCATGCAGGTTCTTCATCTTGCAGCATATAAGGAAAATGGCACCATAAGTTGTCGTCCATATACATTGGAATTTTCTTGTGTTCAATTATACCCTCTTGCATGCCTACCTTTTTTCCCCTTTCAAAATAAAAAAGTTGACGCACACCAGGCAATCATCATCATAATTCTTATGCACATACTACTCAATTAATAGAAAAATATAATATTGTCAACACAAAATTTTATAACTATTATATATATATATATATTTTAAAACATGTAAAATAAAAACAATTCAATTTTTGTTTTATAAATTTTAAATTTTTGCATGATTTAACATAAAATAATTTAGATGATATATATGATTATAATTTAATAATAACATTAATAAAAGCATACTTTTCTTATTTAGACATAAGTTGTTTTTTTTTTTTTTACTTATCTATCTATTTATACTATTTATATATACTTGCATAAACACAGCGAAAGAGTAATGTTTATCACTTATCAGTATCACGTGTGATGTTGTGAACACGTACGAGTCCATGTCCATGAATTATAGTCATGTTATGTACGACTGTACGAGTCTACGAGCAATCACAAGAACTAAATTATTTGTATTAGTTTTGTATTAGATTAGTTCCTTTTCATATATTATTTTCCTATTAAAAAATTAAATTATTAACATAAAATCATAAGTTTTATTGGTAATTTAAAATGACATAATAGCAAATAATTTTGTTGATATACAACATTGATATATATTTTCAATATATAAAATATTAGTACAATATATCATATTTAATATAAATCCTTAATATTATACTGATAGTTTAAGGATTGTTTTTTGAAACTTTTTAAAAAATACTTTAAAGATTGCATAAAAAGTAGTTCATCTTTTAGAGATTTTATATTAAGCAAAAATCATTTATCATTTGGTTATAATTATAAAAAGATATATATATATATATATATATATATATATATATATACATATAAAAGGTAGTTATAATTATTTTTAGAAATAACTCAGAATAGTTTGTCAGCATAATTAAAAATATGATTTTTTAAAATATTAGATAAACACACTAAAAGTATTTTAAAAGTGATTTTTTTAATAAAATAAATTGAAACAGACTTTAACTTTTGTTGAATAAAAACTATATCAACAAAAATGCTTTGAATGTTTAAAAGTTTCTGTTTATCAATAAGCAATATGTATTTGCTTTGAATGTCTCTCACCCTAGTGTGAACAGTGGAACATAAAGTAAATAAGGTGGTTTAAGTAATTTAATTTTTATCATTCATTAAACATGTTAAATTTCCCAATATTAGTTTTTTAATGAATCAGACTTTTTATTTATTTATTTCTCTCTCTATCTATGTATATAAAATCTATTCCACCGTTAACTATGATAATAGATCCAAATTAAAACCTTTGAAAAAAAAAAACATTTACAATGAGTAGGGTATTTATTCATGAGTTTAGATTCTATTACAAGTAATTACTTACAATAAAACTTTGAAAGTAATAATTTGACACTATATATCCAACTTTACTTAGTTTGTATAATAGTTAAGAACTTGTGCTTGTGTGATGACTGGGGTTTGGATTGCAGAAGCAAAGACTATGATAATTATTTATGGGAGAAATATTTGGTTTTCAAATCAAACGAAAAGAAGCATTACCTTTGGTGATGTTATATATGGGGACAACCCACAAAATTGTTGTAGTGCTATCAAACCAGCGATATTGCTGGTGATGAATATCAATCGGCCAAATTGAGATGGGACAGGGAAAACATAAATCCAACCGCAAAATACCAAAAGAAACTTAGTTGCTTTTCTTGGAAATGATCATCTATACACTTAATACAAGTGAAAAGCATATATATAGGGCATAAGTATATATCATTCAGTCCACTCAATTTTTTTGTATTTCATTTCTTTCCCTCACATTATTACGTAAAAATTCAATTTTCTTTATATATATATCTATAAGGACTATAATGATTTTCATATTTATTCCTCAAATGTTTGCTGTGGTGTCTCTTGTTGAGTGGTTGATTGATTACTACAAACTTATTTTAAATCAATTTATAATTAGTTAAATATTCAAGGAAATTGTTTATCACTTATAATCATCTTACTTAGTTGTATTATTAATTAAAAATATTGTTAATATATATTTTTAATAATATTTAATGCATTTCAATGTAATTTTAATAAAATAATTTATAGTTAACTTTTTAACATGTATCCTAACAATACTATAATTACTTTTAAGATGTAAGAGTTATCAAAATATGTTTTATCTTTTTTGATGAATTTTTTCCGTAAGCGCACAAGAAATAATATGTGGGTTTTTCGTCGTACACAAATGAAGCGAGGAAATTATATTTAAATATAACTTAAATATATGCATATTGATAACATATTATTTATGGAATATTTTGATAATTTATAATTACTTTTCTTTTTTCGATTTTTTTATCGACACATTTTAAAAATATTTTATAAAATCAAAAGGAACATTAAAAAAACTCCAACAAATTGTTCAAGTGAGGTAAGATATAGTCTCGCATTATTTGACAAGCTGTAAATTTGAATCCCTACTTATATATTTAAGATGGGCTAAATGTAAATTTTCTGTGAGTGCTCTATTAAAGATTATGTAATAAATAAGAATGAAGTTTGTGTTGAGCACTTGAAAATGAATTTATGTGTATATATTTAATGAAAATAATTATGTCGCCTTTTATTATAGGGTATTAAATGAGCATAAGAAAAGTAAAAATAAAAGATGACAATGCAAAAATAGATATTAAAAATTGAATTATAAGCAATGTTTAACAAAAACACATGAAAATATAAGAGTTGTATATTAAGTGGTGATTGTGTAAGTAGGATTACTCTTGAGTGATGATGGCAACTACCCAAATGGCCCAATATATTGTCTTATAGTGAATGGGAGGGATCAGAACCAAGCTGGAAGAGTTTAACTTAAATGTTTTCTCTGCTTGAAGACAAGATAAAGGCACATGTTAGGGTAGGGGCCATGTTCTTTAGTTCAGCTCCTTCGCATAATTTCAATTGAGAGGTTGAAATGCCTTCCCTTTATCGACTTCAAACTTCACTTATATATTTTTTTTCCTTCTTCCCTCCTTCATGTATAATAACATTTCTCTTCTTTGCTTTTCTTGTCCCTCTTGACTTTGATAGTTCTACATAAATAAGTGTTTAATAAAAATTAAATTATTAAATATAGACATTTAGCGTTTATGATAATGATATGATATATTATATTAACAAATACTTTAATTACCATAAAATATTAACATGCATTAGTCATACAGAAATGTTAACATACTTTATTATGCGTTAGAATAGAGCTTTAAAGTCTTTATTACCAAATAAGTTATTGTGAGATAAATATTATATTAAAAGAATTATTTTAATATTTGAATAATATTTTTTTTATAATAAATAAGACACTAGGCTTAAACTAATTATTTGTATATGAAAGTAATGTAAAAAAAATATATAAAAAATTATCACCTCGGCTTCCTCAAAACTCTCATACAAGAGTACTGAATATTAATTTGGCTTCCAACAAGTGTATGTACTTTAAGGGATTGGTTGAGAGAAAATTTTTGGTGGGAAAGAGAGAAAATGACTTTTTTTTTATTTTTTATTTTAAATTAAGTGAATTATATATCATTTATGATGATACATGTCTGATTATTATATCAAATTAATGTTATATATCTTTTCATAAATTTTATTTTTAAAATATATTTATTTAAAATAAAAGTTTATCCTCCTATCCTTTTCCTAAAAAACACTCCTAAAAAAAGAAACGAATAATAAAAAGGAAAAGACAATAATAAATCTAATGATTGAATTAGTAAAAATAGAGATATAATATGCATAAAATAATAAAAAAACGTGATTTGAAAAAATACAACTAAAATAAACCAAAAATGAGTATTTGAAAAGTATTTTAAAATTATAATTTATTTATACTCATAAATTAGTTGTAATTAATACAGAAAGAAATAGATAGAGATCAGACTGTTATGAATTGTTAAGATCATTTGTTATGGTTAATTTTAAGTATATGAAAATACTATTTTTTATTAAAAATAAAATATTATTATATTTTATATTTTTATAATGTAATAAATATTTTTCTTATGAAAAATGTTAAGTGTAGTTACTTAGGAATCCATTTTTTAATATTTTCCTAACAAAAAGAACATTTTATCAACAATCAAAATGAATGAGAAAAAATTGCTCTTTTTAATTATAAATCGTATTATATATATATAATTAAAATTAAAATTAATATATTATATGTAATATCATAAGCAATATTAATTTTTAGGCATTTATATAATAAAATTTTTAAAAAGTCAAAACCTAAAATAAAACAATAATAACATTGACACACACATGGCATGAATACTATCTCACTTTCTATTTTTTTACATTATATTACTTATTATATTTTTCACTTCTCTCCTCTGTTTATCTCTGACTAAACATATCTAGTGAGTTTATATGATGAATAATAATTTCAAATGAGAACAACCCTCATCTTCTCCATCTCACTTTCATTTGGTTAGGGTGAAGGGCGACAATAAAAAGTGTCAGAATCCAAAATAAAATTACCCGCTCTCTCCCTGTCTCCCTCTTTCATTTGGTTTGTGTTAAGGGTAACATTGTCGCCATCTTGCGCACCATCTCTATATATAATCACTACGCACAATCATATTTCTCAGCTCATCTTTCTGAATATTTAGTAACATGTTTGCATCAAGTGTTACTACCACTATCTATAGTACTATTAATTAGCCAATTAAAGAGCTATTCAAGTAGAATTCAACACAACAATAACCATTAATTGGTTCTTTGTTTCACTATGCCTTCTCTCTCGGAAGCCTTTAGAGCACATCCCGTTCACCTTCACCACAACCACAAGCACCCTGACCTCAGCACACTTCAAGAACTCCCTGATTCTTATGCTTGGACACAACTTGATGATCATCCTCACACTTACCCTTCTAATTCTTCGAGGGGTGAGAGTGTCCCCGTTATCGATCTCAACGACCCAAATGCACCCAAGCTCATAGGCCATGCATGCAAAACATGGGGTGTGTTCCAAGTGGTAAATCATGGCATCCCTTTGACCCTCTTCACTGACATTCAAAGGCTTGCCCTAACCCTATTTTCCCTTCCCTTTCACCAAAAGCTTAAAGCAGCTCGCTCCCCCGATGGAGTTTCTGGCTATGGCCGTGCTCGCATCTCTTCTTTCTTCCCCAAACTCATGTGGTCTGAGTGCTTCACAATTGTTGAATCCCCTCTTGAGCATTTCCTCCAACTCTGGCGTCAAGACTATGCTAAATACTGGTAACAAATAACACACCCTCTCCTCTTACTTGCCTTCTCAAATCTCAATAAGCTTAAGAGGCTACTTTTATAGTCATCATATTTAATTTTTCTTTACTATTCTTCTTCTTCTAATTCTGTTTTGAAGTGAAGAGACCAATTTGATATTTTTAATGGTGAAGATACTAGAAAGTTATGAGCCTATTTTCTTTATTCTAATGCAATTAGCGAAGATCACAATAATGAGAGCAAAGGACCCACCTTTAGGAGTCATCATGAGGATCTATTACACTAAATCCACTTCACACTGTTTGTTATTTTGTTCGAATCCATTTGTTCAATGGTGTGCTTCTTTTTTCTAAAAGAGTAATAATATTTACACGTTACATTTTTTTACATTTTATTTTTATTAGAAAAATGAAAGGTAAAAATTCATGAGTTAGCTTATAAAGTTTTGATATCTTAAAATATAATATAAGAATGGTGTAACTTTTAATTGGTTTTTGTTTTCTAAACAAACCTCATCGACAATGAAAGTATTTTTGTTTATTCTTTTTTCCGTAAGAAATTTATTTGTTAATTTTTTATCGTTATGGTTGATGCTTAAATCTCCCCGCTTCAACAATGCTTCACCTTCGATCACGTGCAGTGATATTGTGGTGAAATATGAAGAAGCCATGGAAAAGCTAGCAGGGAAGCTAATGCGGCTCGTGTTGGCTTCAATGGATATTTCAAAGGAAGACCTTAAATGGGCTGGCCCAAGAGGTGAATTCAACGGAGCTAGTGCAGCCTTGCATTTGAATTCTTACCCGAGTTGCCCGGATCCGGATCGGGCCATGGGTCTGGCCCCACATACAGATTCCACTCTCCTCACAATCCTACACCAAAACAATGTTAGCGGGTTGCAGGTTCTCAGGGAAGGTAAAGGGTGGGTGGCGGTGCCGCCACTTCCTGGAGGGTTGGTGATCAATGTCGGTGATCTGCTCCATATTTTGTCAAACGGGTTATACCCGAGTGTGCTCCATCGGGTTTTGGTGAACCGCACTCGACAACGGTGTTCTGTTGCTTATTTATATGGGCCCCCAACAAATGTTAAAATATGTCCACATGAGAAATTAGTAGGCCCAACTAGGCCCGCTCTTTATCGAGCAGTGACTTGGAACGAGTACCTTGGCACCAAAGCAAAGCATTTCAACAAGGCACTCTCATCGGTTAAGCTTTGTACATCGATAAATAATTAATAATGTAACTTTCTATTGCAAATTAAGAAGTCATTTTATCCAATAATTATCATTATTAATTTTAAATTAGTAAACAGTAAATTTAGTGATTTATTTATAAAAAATATAAATACCTTATAGTTTTTAAGATATCGGAAGAATTACAAAAAGAAAATATAAAATACCATTTCAAATTTACCATAACAAGTAACATGAATAACTTGTTAGATATAATAAGTTTCACAAAAAACAACTTTCAAGTAGGCTAGATCAATAATAGATTAAAATTTTTGTACAAAGCAAACAATAATAATAAATTAAAAATTGAAATACACGTTATTTGCTAAAATGGAATTTGGTTTGTGGTTGGGGCACAAACAAGAAACAAGAAAGAAGTTGGGGGGTGTATTGTCTCCAAACCAGAAAGAGTGAAGAAAAGCTGTTCAAAAGACAAGACCATCTCCAACGGTTTTAAACAACGATTCTCAATGTAACTTTCATAAGCAATCACTCGTCACTGAAGAACATTTCATTTATGCTATGTAAGAGAAATATAGTTGCTCTCCGTCAAATGCATCTTTATTATTATTTCAACGAGTCTTACATATATTTTATTTTTCATTTTATGTAAATTTTTTAAAGTATTTCATGTATAAGATAAGAGCAATAGCTACTTAATCAACACTAATTCTATCACCATTGTTATTAGGGTTACAAGCTTTGATTTTTTTTTTATTAGTGCTTTTATCATTACACTGCAACTATTACTACTTCAACTATTATTTTGTTGTTAACACTTTCACTACTAGCATTATTGTCAATTGTTGACGAAGGCATTCCTTCACTAACCTTATTTATAACTAGCCTTATTAAAATTTTATGATAGAATTAAAATTTAACTTTACATTTTCCTTTAAATTTTTTGCACAACCTATAAAAATCACGATTATAAGCCAATTTCAATTTTGATAGACATGACATTAGAATTACAATTTTAATTGCATGTGAAAAATGGGTAAATTATATTTAGACTTGATTTCTAACTAGCCTAATCTTATTTATAACCAGCCTTATTATAAATTTTAAGACAGAATTTGAAATTTAATAATGTTATGCTCTAATATTTTTGCACAACCTAAATATTAAAATCAAGATTGTAAACCAAGTTTAATTTTGATAGAAATGAAATAAAAAGTACAATTTTAATTGCATGTCGAAAATGGGTAGAATATATTTATACTTGATTTCTCTACTTAAGCAAGCTAAATATGCCGAATATATTGGTTGCCCGACTATATAAAAAATATTCAAGCATTAATTTTATATATATATAAAGAAAGGAAAAGATCCACTTACTCTACTTCGCTTAATAATATTTTATTACATGTTATATTTTGTTAATTTATCAATTGATTTAAGAGTTTTTAATTAAGTATATTAAGACTACTCAATTTTATGAAATTTTAAAATTATTTTACGCATCATAAAAAAAGTATTTTAACATATACGAAAAAAATTATTATTATTATTATTATTTTTTGAATTTCGGAATCAAAGAAAAATAGTTAATAATCTTGAATAAAATGTTGTAAAATTATTTCCTTATTTAATAATGTATTGTTATAAATACATAGATACGAGAGCATGATAAGATGGGAACATTTGTAAAAACTAATTGAGTTCCAAACATCTAAATTTTTATGGACACTTCTGATAAAAAAATGCATTGTGCGATCATATTTCCTTTCTCATTTTAATGAAAATGAAAGATAAATCACACATTGGAAGAATGGTGTGAATTATTTCATAAAAAAGATCAAGGAATCGTTGTATTTGACAAAAACAAAAGTATGAAAGAAATGGAGCACACATTGACTGGAATTCGCAATAGAAAAATAACGCTATGCCTATAAGAAAGCTCTCCTATGTTTAAAATTTTCGACTGTCTAAACATCCTTCCTTTTCTACGCTGCTTGCTTTAGTATGTGTTCTACACACGGCATTACAAAACTTTAGTGTGTGTTCTACATACGGTAATACTAATATAATAGATGCTTTTGAAAAAAAATCATAACTACAAAATGACATTATATGTATGATATCCACAGTAATGTCAAATACTAATCATAGTTTTTGAAAGTATTGTAAAGGAATGTTGAATTATTGTAATCCGTGGGTATAACCAACACATTTTACTCATTTTAGACTCCAAAATGAAGAGTCTAGAGCATCAAATCACCCTTCTAGGTTTTGATGTGTGTAATGTATGCAATGGATAAAGCATATATAGGAAGGAATTTTTTGCTTGAAGTTTCTGCTTCAATTCTAAAGAAAATCAGAATTTTGTACAGTGCAATGAGTCTATGACACAAGATGCTTGATTTAGTTTATCACAAGGTAGTTTGAAGGACTCCATCATGAAAATGACCGAAGTGCCACAAAGCAAATTAAAGACAGCTAAATCCCAATTTCGGACAAATAATTGGTGACTGGTGTGGAGCAAAGCCAACCCTGTGAAACCTTGTTGTGTTTCAAACATGGGCAAAATGTTTAGGAGCTTAGAATCGTACTTAAACTGATATGTTTTGTAACTTTGTTAAGCTGCATAATGTAATACTAACTATAACACACGGCTATTTTTCTCTTTCTAATGGGCCCGAATCAGGATTTTGTTAAATATTTTTTGTCAAATACCAGGACTAAGCTTGTTTATCGGCCAGGATTTTGGAATCAATATCAATCACATCAATGATAGATTGTATCAGCTACCTTTGTATTATGATTCTGTGGATGAGATGTTTTACCGATACTAATATAATATGACGAAAGTTTCATCAAACTTTTCAACACACATTTAAATTAGTCTTACGATTTTGTTAACTTTTAACTTTTAATTAAAGATTGAATTTAAACATAAAAAATAATTATTTTTTATTGAAAATGTTTATTATACTTCATATTTTTAATATCATACATATTTTTTAATAAAAAATTATTAATTTCAAAAGCTTAAACTCAATTTTAATATAAACGATTATATTATATAAATTTTCCAAATCACAGTAATTGTCTCATGTTAAGTCCAAAGTGACATTGCGAGGATGAGGAGGATCGATTATCTTTTGTATCCTTTCTCTTTGTTGATCCCACCATACGAGTAGAAAATCTAAAACGATCACATAACATTATTTGGTGCCGAAAGAAAGAAAAATCATAAGAGCTATGGAATCCTTCATTTGGGCAATGTCTTTTCAAATTGTGAATGTCTGCTTTATCCTCGTATCTCAGGGCTCCATTGTTATCTTAATTTATCAATACGATCGAGACGAATCTCTTGGTGTGAAGAAGGTTAAACCTATGTGGGTCTATTATTTGATTCCAATGAGAATGACTCCAAATACCGAAATCATATCATTTTCAATGGTGGTTATTCAATGATTCATTGATACCTACTACACGAACTGGCTCCTTGTTGGAGGCAATATCATTATAGGATTTTATTTTAAGATAACTATAACCAACTATTCACATCTCTCTCAGGATGCTACTGGTAACTACACTTACCTCTCTTAATTGAAAAATTACGTACACCTCTCTCTCGCAGCCCTTGTTTTATTATTATTTTTTAAAGATTATTATATACAGTATATATATATATATATATATATATATATAATAATAATAATAATAATAATAGCAGAGATATGTGTAATTTTTTAGAGACAACACATCTTAACATGTAAGAATAACATATAAGACAAGGAATATGTATAATGTTTTTAAAAGGGTGTAAGTATACATAATAAGTGCGAACTTCAAGAGAAGACAAAACTTTTAATTTTAATTTAACTATTATTCATATGTTTTATTTTTCTAGTTGTTTATATAGCGAAATCAAACAAAATATGGCAATTTAATAATTATTAAAGATTAATACTATATGTAATATTATAAATAGCTATTTTTATGTTTTTTTATATACATTCAAACAGTGAACAAGCTTGCGCCGCCCCTTCTTTTCCGGCGATGTGAAGGCAGTGAGACGAAAGAGGGTGGAAAACTACAGTGGAGATGGAAGACTGGGTTCATGTCATTGACTCGTGGTCATGGGGTTGAATGCTCTGTTTATTTTATTTTATTGGTCAATCATGGTGTTGACTTTAACTGTTAATGTTATTTTCCATTGACAAGTCTATAGTCATTGATTAACTGGGTACTTGTAATTCCTTAACTTTATAACTATGGTGCAACATGGTGGTGTATTTATTTATGGATAAGTCTAGTTCTGTTTGAAAAGGGCTCTGACCCTTTGTATAATTCTAGGATCACATGCATGGTCAATTGAAGGATAATGCATATGTAGTGGCTTAGGATTCAAACACGTCTGGAATATTAAAATTTTTAACTTATTTATAATTAAATAATTTTAAAATAAAAATAAATTAAAATTTTCAAAATTGATATATTATTAATTTTATTTTTTAATGTATTTAATTTGGTGGAAAATAACTTTATACATAAAAGAAGAGAGAGTATGATGCAGGCTTCATTTGACAGACTGAAAACAGAGCTACAGAGGAATGTTAGATAGGATGAATGGAGGGTTGATGAGTCCATATTTGCAAACATGATTCATTAATATGATTACATATTAATGATTTGGTGGTTGCGTTTTCTATATTAATGACGTGGAATAGGATTTGCATGGAGAGTGTTCAACTTTATTGTGGGAATTTTTGCTCTCATCCATTAATTCTCTAATCTCAACCAGATTTTGGAAACCTTGTTTTATTGGTTCTTGGTCTTTCTACGTCATGCCCCCGAGTCCTGTTCGAGGAAACTGTTGCAATGATCTCAAAACAAGTTTAAATAAAATTTTGATTTATAATTTAAAATTTTATTTAAAAATATAAAAAAATATGATGTTCTTAATAATATATTTATCTATATTAATCAAATTATATGAACTGACTTAAATGTTACGTGGTTAAATAACGGATTAAGTTAAATAATTACTAATA